TTTGGATCCTAGGGTGCATATACACTTATGATGATTTTTGAATGTTTCTATTGCCTTAATCTAGTATATAGCTGCATAAAAAACCCAACAAATCATTCATCTAGGCGACAAACTTAGATACAAGGCTCACTTTGTTGCTAACGGCTACAATCAAATCTTAGGAATTAATTACACATATTTTCTCATTGGTCGTAAAACATTCATCTATACGTGTTTTATTGGGATATGTTGTTTCCAGTGATTATGAATTAGAACAACTTGATGTAACTACGATATTCATAAATAGTGTCATTGAGGAAGAGATCCGCATGCAGCAACATGAGGGATTCATAGTTCATGTCAAGAAAAGTTATATGCGAAAACTGAAGAAATCTCTATATGGCCTCACGCAATCTCCATGAAAATAGTATATGTGGATGGCATGTTCATTGCGGCAAAATAAATGAAGGAGGTTAAAAAAATAAAAGACCAATTGGATGTTGAATTTGATTTGAAGCACTTAGATGTTGCGAAAAAAATTCTAGGAATAGAAATTGTTTCCAATGATTATGAATTAGAACAACTTGATGGAACTACGACATTCATAAATAGTGTCCTTGAGGAAGAGATCCACATACAACAACATGAGGGATTCATATTTCATGTCAAGAAAAATTATGTGCGAAAACTAAAGAAATCTCTATACGGCCTCAAGCAATCTCCACGAAAATAGTGTATGTGGATGGCATGTTCGCTGCGGCAAAATAAATGAAGGAGGTTAAAAAAATAAAAGACCAATATTGGATGCTGAATTTGATTTGAAGCACTTAGATGTTGCAAAAAAAAAATCTAGGAATGAAAATTGTATGCCAGATAAGTGCAAGAGTTTTTATCATTCTCAAAAGGATATTTTGACAAAGTTTTGCATTGTTTTAACATGCATGATGCAAAAGAAGTCATCACGCCTTTTGCAACTCACTTTAAGTTATCATCCGTATTTGAGTCTGACTATCAAATAAGATATAAAATACATGACAACAGTACCATATTCTAGTGTTGTAGGATTTTAATGTATGCTATGATATGTACACGTCTAAATTTTTTATATTCAATAACCATGGTAAGCATATACATGGCAAACACGAGAAAGGAGCGATGGAATGTTGTAAAATGGATTTTTTTGCTATTTGTGTTGTACATCCTCTATGTGTTTGCATTTTCGCAAAACTAAAAAATGAGTACTTAGGTATGTGGATTCAGATTATGCAAAGGATTTGGACAATAGAAGATCTATTACATGTTACATTTTCATTTTAGGTGACTGCGCTGTTAACTATAAAGCACAATCACATATATGTTATCCACCACTGAAGTTGCATACATGGTTGTAACGAAATCAATTAAGTAAGTTATTTGGTTGAAAAGGTTGATCGGAGAGTTTAATAACATACTAACAATCGTACTTTAATTTTTCTTAACAAGGGTCAGATGTTTCATGACCAAATGAAACATATTGATGTAGGTTATCATTTCGTAAGGGAAATAACTGATAAATGCGAGTTCGTTGTAAACAAGATCAACATAAATGAAAATATAGTCGATATGTTTACTAAAAGTCTTCCGATCAACCAATTTTGACATATGTTGAACTTGGTGGGTGTTCAAAAACAGAAGTGAGCCAAGAGGCTCTTGGTAAGAGATGCATTTGTTTTGTTTTGTTTTTTTGAAACGGCAAATCTCCTCTACTTCTAAACTACTCTTAAATCCACTTATGTTTCTGACGGGACTTGAACCCTCAACCTCAAAGAAAAAGGACAACAAATGATATCGTTGGCTAGAAGCCCTATGCATTTGTTATTTGAAGGACATGTATGTTATTATATTTTCTTTTGATTTTCCAAATGGATCAATAATTATTAAGAATTTTTCAACTTTAGCTGTCAAGGTGGAGATTATTGCAAGGCATGTCTCAAAAAGTGTAGTCGGAAGATATTTTCTTTTTGTTAATGAAAAGGAATTATTTTCTTCAAAAAGTTAAAGATATTTTCTTTTTGTTAATGAGAAAGAATTATTTCCTTAACTGAAGAGACTTTCCTTATAAGATAAAATTGGTGCCAAAGTTTTAGTGATAATGATTATCTCAATGTCAAGTATCTCTATAAATAAAGAATTAGCTTTCTTATTTTTATCATCTCGTTCTCAAAAACATTGTAACATCAATTGATATAGCAAAGTGATTTGGGATGCCCTGCTCGTGTTTTTTTTCCAAGATGGGTTTCTGCGTAAAAAAAATCTTGGTGTTCTTCTCTCTCTTCTTATTTCTTGTTTTTGGTTTTTCAAATAGTATTTTTAACGGCTAGTATGTCATAATTCAAAAGGTTCTAACAAGTAATTAGAACCAAAACAAAATTCATTTAAGAGCATATGATATGGGCAACTTGAAGTGATGTTATAACAAGAAACAACAAGAAGAGGGGGTGATGTCCATGGTGTTATAACACCCGTTAAGAGGAGAGAGATAGAGAGAGAGAGAGAGAATTTATGCAGCCAATAGAAGATCACGTTTCATCTAGTCATGGCCACAACAAGAAGCAACACAACTAGATACAACAAGAAGGGGGGTGGTGTTCATCTTGTTATGACTAGGTTATGAGGTGCCACATCAGCAATAATAGCATTTCTCGTTGCCCATACCATATCCTCTTACAAAGGAGACTGCATCCAAGCATTCCGATTAGCATTTATTTTGAAAACTCGGTTATTTAACCAATTGAATGAATTCAAAACTATGCTATAAAAAAAATAGGGAAATTGAGTAATCTAACTATTATAAACGAGGTTTTTAAAAAAAAATTAACCATCTTTTTTCAGCTTTTGAAAATTAACCATCTTTTTTCAGTTTTTAAAAAAGAGAAATTAAATATCCTCCTACTTTTTGTTCCTAAAAATCTTCCTACCCAATTAAATGATGACATGTGTCATATTTAATGTTCATTTAATGATATATAAGTATAATAAAATGACACATGTAATCATTTAATTGGGTAGAAGGATTTGTAGAAACAAAATTAGGAGGATATTTAATTTCTCTTTAAAAAATAATCATTTTCTCGAGAATACCCTCATTCCGGACCAGAGTTTTTTTTTTTATATAATTTTCAGAAATAAATTTTTTTTTTGGATTCCGAAAGCTATATTTCGTAATGTTTTATGTCACTGTTTTTCAATAAAATATTTAACTTTATGCATTAATATTGTATATAGTTCATATAACTATGTTTGTTTAATTTTTTGTTAAATTAAGCAGAAAAATGATTTTTTTTCTTAAAATTTCGGAATTGTTCTTCGGATTTCAGACTTATTCTTAAAATTCCGGAGTTCTTTTTTTCCGAAATCCGAAATTTTAGTCTGGAATCCAGAATATCGTTTTGGAATCGGTCAAAAAAGTGTTTTTTTTCTTGGTCTAAAATGTCTATTCCGGACAAAATGATTATTTTTGTTAAAAAAAATGGTTATTATCTTCAAATACACATTAAAAAGTAGTTAGATTTCTCAATTTCCCTAAAAAATAACTTCTCTCCGAATTGGTTTGTTATCAAACAAAACCAAATTCCTATGTCTCCATAACATCCAAACTATAGCCAAAATAATCACATACAAACATTATTTCTCTAACAACGATCATTGTGAGTTATCAATCAAGAAAGTCATTCAGATATGGAACTCATCTAAGGAAAAGTCACATTGCACTACTAAGTCACTAGCTGTCTAACTTCCATATTTCAGCCGCCACTTCACACAAGACAAAACGATGGCTAGTAATTTCAACCCCAACTTCACAAACACACACCCACACACACGCCCACCCACCCAACACCACTACCACAATTACCGACCTACTATCACCATCACCATCACCACCACCACTACCCCATCACCAACACCATCGCCGAGACCACCACCACTGCCACAATTGTCGCCGCCACCACCACCGTCTGTCACCCCGCTGCCACCGCCACCACCACCACCGTCGCCATCATCGACACTACCACTGCCCCCCGCCGCCACCGTCCCCACGCCCACCTTACCACCGCTACCGTTTTCTAAAAATGAAAACTGATAGAAAAATACACATCTAAACACGTTTTATAATTTTCTAAAACTGAAAATGAAAAACGAATAAGTTTTAACTAAACGCGTTTTCTAAATTTTCCAATGAAAACTGAAAACGGAAAACGAAAACTGAAAAAGGAAAACGAAAAATAAAAACTGTTTTTCTGTAACTAAACGCAACCTAAACAATCTCCTTCGGTGACTTCCATAATAGAGCATTATACAAGGATCAAAACAATTGTTAATTTATTGGACAACATTGATTCCATGATTCCTATTAAAATCCTCATAATGTATACAATCAATGGCTTATCCTTGAAATTTGATTATGTTGATAGTCTCATGCTCCATCAATCACCACTTCCTACCTTTCTTAAAGCCAAATCGATGTTATTGCTCAAGAGACACAAAACGAATCATATCTGAAGTTTTCAAGGCAATTATCATGGAGGGGAAGCAATCACCACAACATAAGAGGTGGTCGTGGTGTACGTCAATCCTTTAACAATAATATTACTAATATTTTTCAACCATTTTCCCACTAAATTATTTTTTATCGTTTTGTATTATCCTTATTAACATTTTTTATTATTGTTGTTAGTACGTGTTTCATGTATTACATAGTTTTACAAAGATGGTGAAACAGAGCTTTCTTGTAAAATTATGACATAAAGATAAAGTGATTATCCCTTTTTCACATTAAATAAAATTATGACATAAAGATAAATGGGCCACCATGGAGCATAATGAAGCTACCCCTATGATTTATTTTCTTATTGCTTCATAACTTATAGCCTACTATTTAAATGCATATGCCCTTTTATTTGATTTTTTTTTTCAAAATTTAACTACCTGTGTTACCACCAAGCATGCTAACATATGACAATTTTACCAATACATAATATTTGCACAAAAATATTCTCTATTACATTTCATAAACCAACATTCAAGTATTATCAACCATGAAACGAACTAGGAGAATTACCTTGATTAATATGATCCCAATATCTATTCGCATAATTAGACAAAAGAGGAAATGCTCGTGCATAAATATGTTGACCACGTGCATAAACAGGAGTTGACCCTCGTCTACATTCTGGCCTCCAACTTTGTTCATAAGAGTGATGTTGAAAATGTAATTCTATTGAACTTTTTACCGTTTTGTTTAAGAAATTATTATTATTATTATTATTATTATTATTGTTATTATTATTATTATTACTGAAAGATTTAAGACCTTTTAATTGGGAATTAGGAGTCACCCATCGGTTTTTATCTGCATTTACTGGAATTGGTGCATTTATTCCTGGAAAATTCACGCTCATTTTTCTCTTTGGCTCTGTAAAATTTGTATCGATGCATTTTTCATTTTCTTTTGTATCTTCATTTGTAAATATTGTAATTCCTGAAGGTTGGTCTTCATCTTCCAAATCTACGCAATATTAAAAAATAAAAACTTGTAATCTCATAAAATATAAAAAAAGAAGGCAATTTAAAATAAACATGAATTAAAAAGCATTTAAGGTGGAAAATAATCATAAAAACTGACCAAGATATCCAGGTGGGTATCCCATTTCACGCATTCTATTCAACCATGGAGGCGGATCAAATTCCTGAATCAAAAGATTTAAACTAAATTTACAAGAATGGTCCTTGTGTTTTACATGAATGACAAGTTTTGTCCATTTTTTTGACTTACCCCAAGGTGTAAGAGTTCCCTAGTCTCAAGATCAAGACAACCCGGTTTTAACCCATCAAACTTCCCACCAGGGGTATTTTGGTAATATCGCGTTAAAACACGAGGACCAGAAGGTCTTTTACTTTTTAACTGATACAATTTGCGGGAATTGCTGACAACTTCTTTGTTAAAAGGCTTTGGACACTCTTTTAGTGAATGATCATAAGCATCACAGTTAAAACAACGAGAAGCATTCACAATATTATCAACACTGTTATAAAATTAACAAGGGTAAAGGTAGTGGAAATAAATAAGTTTACTTTTCATCAAAAAAAAAAAAAAAAAAATACCTTTCTTTGGTAGCCACGTCATCATTTGACATTAGAAGTGGAAAATTACGATCATAGACAGGTATAGAGTCTTTGTTGAATTCGGTATTTTCTGTCCTTTGCTTTTTGTTCACTTGAGTGTCCATGTAAACAGACTTTTATGAAAATAAATCTAATTTGTCATCAATTTATAAATAGGAAATGAAAAGAGATTAGGAACATGTGAGCATACAATAATACAAGATCTCTCTGAGCTAACATTTAGTGCAGGAAGATAGGTTTCTTCACCAGATTCAAGATCTTCATTAGAACCCTGAAAAAAAGATTCAACAAGTTAATTAATTTTGAAAGAACTGTGAGAATTTCTTAAACTTAATTGTTGTTGGAAAAAGAAATTTTGCCTCAGATAAAGAGCATTCTTGAGTATGCCATTCTGACCATTGATGTAACAGCTGTTCAAGCTTCTTTTTGCTCTTCCTAAAATTTAAAAACAGATTATTATTTAGTTATTGAGTAAGAAATAATACCTCAATTACTAGACTAATAACAAAACTCTATTAAATTGACATCAACCTTGATAATAATTTATAAATAATTTGAACAGAAGTTGGCTCATTGTCATCCTGAAGCGCCCTTTTAATAGTTGTCATCTGTAAGTTCATAACAATCGGTATCAGATCCAGTGATTATCTAAAAACATGATTTTACTGCATTGGATTTATAGTTTGAATTTTTAAATTAACTTGTTATGCTGATCTTATTATAAATCCAATATGAGGCAGATGTAACTTTAAATTCATATGATAAATCAGATGATTGGTTCAAAAATATTTTCATCTACGTGCATTAGTGATTCAAAAGATTTTGTATAGTGGTTTCTGATTATATACCAACACTATTCTCAGTTTCATAAAGAATGCAAATCTTATCCAAAAAGTTAATTTTTAATGTTAGAATGTGACAAGTTTAAAATCTTCAGTTAACTAACAATGAAATCAATAATGGCGATAACAAGTGTGCTGAAGAATAAAACATAAGCAAACAAATCGGGTAAGATAGATTGAAGTTTGAATCCAACTTAGATGAAAAAAGAGCTCAAATACGTAAAAAAAAAAGAATCAACTGTCAAAAATAAACCTCAGCTAGGGTTTCAAATACGAAGATTGTACCTTTTGGAGATGGTGATGAAGTAGCCGCCGATGGGAAGACAAAAGAGCAGACCTGGTTTGAGGGAATATGAAGAAGGTAGAAAGTAGAAACAGATTGATTTAAATTCGGAATCACTTTAAAGCGCGAGTATATGCAAATTTGGATCGGGGAAATTTTCAACGAAGAAAAATCGCTTAATAAAAGGTTATTTTACAAAATTGTAATATACTTTTTAAAAAAATATCTCTTAATATTATTTAGAAATCATAGTTTGAAGTTTGTTATATTTTTTTGGGATACCTTCCTAAAAATATCTCTTAATATTATTTGCGGGTTGCTGAATGATATATGAGACAAATAGTTGGTTATTTTAGTGAACAACTACATGTGAAAATATGTAATTCAAGTGTAATAAATACTGAACTGGGTGATCGAAAAACGGGTTAGTGAATATCAAAATCGTCTTGGATAATCCAGGGATCGTGTGTAAATACTTTCCAAAAATCTGTAATTTCGATCATATTCTAGTGTTATATGAAATCATTTATATTTGGATAATCCAAGAATCTCAATATTGATTTCATGCTAAATTCAAGATTCAAAAATACAAAATACATCGTTACCGTTATATATATTTGGGACATGTCTTGCCAAAAAAGTGTAACGGCGAAAGTGATGTCAACCAAACCCGAAATCACGTATATATAAGAAGATGACCGTTAAATTTAGTTATTTGGTAGTAAAAACATATGTAACGGTTGGATTTTTTATAGGAATTTAATGAGCGGATATATCTATCAGATATTGATCCTGTTCGGGTGCTCTGCCCCTTGGAACCCCCTGAGGCACTATCCAGACCCTGTTTTCACGAAATCACCGTAGGTTATACGAGTGTGCATTCAACACCTCCAAGCTTGCATTATAGCTAAAGTTGAACTCAATTTGTGTCAAGTTAATCCTGATTATACTAAATGACTTGATGACACTAAAACCACAAATATTTAGTTAGCCAATGATTATACATAAAGAAAACCCAATATATTCTGAGTTGTTTAACAAACTGCTAACTAAATTGAAAGTAACCCGACCAAAATTATGTTATTCCTTCATTACATTCATGCACTTATAAATTCAACTTGAAGAACAAGTTGCAACCATTTCAAGATGATCTAAATCACTTTCAGTCAGTAAGGAAGGGATTCAGCCCACTTTTCAACATAGTCTCCAGAGGTCGAAATAATGGTTGAGGTGGTTTTTTCCAGTCGTACCAATCCCAACCATAACACTTATCAGGCTCCACATTTTGAGGGATTTGGTCAGGATCCGATAAAGATGCGCGCATATAAATAGCAACAGAATGAAATGGTTTTTCAGCTTCAGTAAATACGTCATTTGTTACTGTTAAAAACTGTATATCCTTAATGTCTAGCCCAGTTTCCTCCTTCACCTCTCTAGTCGCACATTCCTCAAAGCTTTCACCTAGGAAATGAGACAGAACTATTTCTATAAATTAACGCAAAAATTTTAGGGCAATATTCAGAAAAACTATTATGTTATATTTGTACACATTAAAACCAGTATACTTTCTGATTTTGGTTAAATTAATAACCTAAGAAAACCGGTTACACGTTATAAAGATTACGTGACATCAATAATTTCCAGAAACTATAATAACGATTTCGGAAAATTGCTACCGTTTTGTCAGAAAGTGGAATTGTAATTGCTATTCCACATAAACTTTATAATTTAAATTAATAATGTCATGTAATCTTTTTAATTTCATATTGGTTAGGAAAACCATTTACATGAAAATATAATGTAAAAAAATGAAGATTTTGAGTTAGGCCATTCGGAATACTTAACACGAGATGGCTCGTGGTATACATGGACCACGACCACGACCGTGCACACCATCCCGGCCGGTCGTGGTCGATCGTGGTCGTGCTCAATCGTTGTGTGTTCCACGAAATCAAACAGAAAATGCTATTGGTTGATGTTTGCAACGGCTAGTTTCTTGTGCAACGGATTTTTTTGTTTTTTTTTTCTTTTTTACCTTTCAAACATATTAAACTTCTTCTATAAATATCACACTTATATTAAACATACTCACACAATTTCTTCTTTGTTTTCTTATAAAATCACACACTTCTTTTACATTCTTCCAAAACCAATGGCTCCTAAAAGGATGAATTGGTCAGAAAATGAAGAAGAGAACTTAGCACGAGCATGGGTAGCGGCTTCAGAAGACCCGGTAACGCCTCCTAACTTTTGGATAAAAGTTGGAAACGTTTTCCATGATTTAATGGGTTGCCAAAGTCGTAGTCTTGATGAAACGTTTTCCTGCCACGTGTTACAAACAACGTACACGAAGGCGACCCGTTTGCTGTGGCCATGAACCAATATGAAAACACGAAACACACACCGTTTAAAAACGTCAAAGCTTGGCGAAAATTAAGAGAGTGTCCGAAATTTAGTGATTAAAAATAAGGTTTAAAAAGTAGTTTAAGTTGTTTGTGGTTGCATTTTTTATGGTTTTTTATGTTTTTTTTAATTTTATGTTGTTTGTCTTAAATTAATGTAATATTGTTTCATTGAATAAAAAACTAGTTTAAAAAAATTATGTTTTATTGTGTTTTTGAATTAAATTTAATTAAAAAAATATGTGTTATTGTGTTTTAATGTATTTTTGAATTAAATTTAAATAAAAAAAATGAGGTGGAGTGGTGTGTTAGTGATAGGTATCCCATGTTAGTGGTAGGAGAATGTGGTGCTGATGTGGCACCCACCACATATGTGATATGTGGTGAGTATAACGGATGATCTTATATGCCTAAATTCGCTCCTAAAATCCTCCAACTTTTGGTCAGAAAAAACCATTTACATGAAAATATGATTCGTATACCAAACTTTCAAACATGTTCATTTTAATGATTATAAAAAATAAAAAATGTATCTCTAGGGTTACCTAATTTCAGATTAGAACAGTATAGTAGTTGTGAAATTACTCTGCTTTTCATTGATATTTCAAAATGAAGCTCTCAATGAAAACATTTAATAGTCTAGAGTATCCAACAATGGTAAAAGCTGAGATAACGATTCAGTATAGATCACTATGTGTGTGTGTGTGTGGCGTGATAGGGGGTTTAAGAGAGGACTAACCAAACTCAAGGCGGCCGCCGGGGAGTGCAAAGGTGTTGTGGCCAACTGAATCTCGGCGACGGCCTAAAAGAACCGTGTTGTCCTTGATCAGAAATACAACCACCGCAATTACAGGTGCCGGCGGCGGCGAGGACGACGACATTGATCCGGTGTTTGTTTTCAATTGCAAAACTACTTCGACATTTTAAAAGGGAAAAAGTTTAAAAAGCGTACACAGAGGTCTTTCTCAATGGTATTTTTTTATTTTGAAAAAACATTTCTACATTGTTGTGAGATTTTTTAATTTATCCTTTTCCATAATGCTGTTATTTTTTAATTAATTACTTGTACAGCACGAATTTGTTTATTTATTATTTTTACACAAAATTTCAGTAATTGGTCCTTTGGTTTACAGAATATCGCACTTTGAGGACTTCCTAACAAAAAGTCACGCGACTGGTCCCTATGGTTTGTAAAATTACATGAAAGGTCCTCCTGCCGTTAAATCTAACTTTTCAGTTGTTAGATTTTAATGGAAAAGACTATTTTGCCCTTATACCAATATTGCAATACACTACAAACCTCAAGGACCATTCGTGTAATTTTATAAATTTGAAATTTTATGTATATATAAATTATAAATATAATTTCCGTGTATATATATATATATATATTATATATATATAAATTATAAATATAAATTATAAATATATAATATATGTGTATATATATTTTCAACAACTTAGATAATTTTTTTTCTTTTATCTTTCTGACATTTTATTTTATAATTTTAGTTATTCATGGTTTTTTAATGTTTTTATTTATTTTGATTCAAGTAAATAAACTTAAGTTCGATAAACAATATCGAAACATTTTTTTTCTTAATTATGAAATGAAACGTTAATGTTTTTTTTTTGTTACGGTTAATTTTTTTTTTTTTTTTTTACTTTAATGTTCTATAGTTAATATCGTTAGCAACTTTATGTTTGCATTTATCATTATCATTATTTCACATTTTGTTGTTTTTTTATATATATTTAGTTATTTATTATTCTTCTATTGTTTTTATTTATATTGATTCAAGTAATGAAAAATAGAAAAACAAAAAAACAAAAACTCAAACCCCAAAGTTGTAAAATACTCTAATATATTAATACATTTTACACTTTTCATATTTTTTAGTTTTTTTCGCATTTTTTTATTTATTAATTTTGGTTATTTTATGGTTTTCGTAACTTTTTTTATTTTGATTTGTGGAAATAAAAAAGTTATGTTTATTTTCTTTATTTATATTTGTAAATATAACTATTTTATTTACACGAATCAAAATAAAAAAAAGTTACAAAAACCATAAATAACCAAAATTATAAAAAAACCAAAAAAACTCAAACACCAAAATTATAATATACTCTAATATATTCATACATTTTACACTTTTTGGAAAATATCAAAAAAAAAGCTATCAAGTTGATGAAAAATAAAACTAAACAATGAAAAAAATAAAAAGAGGAAATAATTAAAAAATAAAAATAGGAAATAATTAAAAAATAATATGAAAAAAATTAAACTAAAAAATTTAAAAAAAATACGAAAAAACCAAAAAAAGATGAAAATGTAAATTGTATTAATACATTAGAGTATATTAGAATTTGGTGTTTAAGTTTTTGTTTTTTGTTTTTCTATTTTTCAGCACTTGAATCAACATAAATAAAAACAATAGAAGAATATTAAATAATTAAAATTATAACAAAAATAGAAAACAAAAGGTCAAATAATGATAATGATAAATGCAAACATAAAGTTGCTAACGATATTAAATATGAAGCATCAAAAAAAACATGAACAGTAACGACATAAAATTAAAAAATAAAAATAAAAAAATAAAAAACCATTAACGCTTCAATTCACAAATAAGAAAAATTAAAGAAAAATCAATTTTGACATGGTTTATCGAATTTAAGTTTATTTACTTGATTCAAAATAAATAAAAATATAACAAAAAACCATAAATAACTAAAACTATAAAATAAAAATAGAAAACAAAATGTCAAAAAGATAAAAAAAAATTATCAAATTGTTGAAATAATATATATACATATATATTAAATTTATATTTATAATTAATATAAATACAAAATGCGAAATTTATAATTTATATACATAAAATTTCAAATTTATAAAATTACACGAATGGTCCTTGAGGTTTGTAGTGTATTGCGATATTGGTACAAGGGCAAAATAGTCTTTTCCATTAAAATCTAACAGCTGAAAAGTTAGATTTAACGGCAGGAGGACCTTTCATGTAATTTTACAAACCACAGGGACCAGTCGCGTGACTTTTTGCTAGAAAGTCTTCAAAGTGCGATATTATGTAAACCACAGGGACCAATTGTGAAATTTTGTCTTATTTTTATTATTTAAGTTTTTATGTTATAACTAGAAATTGTCTTCTTTCGACTTTGCAGGAACGCAAGTCGGAAGTCTACTTGTAACAACCCAAAAATTATAGTAAACATTTTTCATTTTTAAAACACAAATCCATAAGCCTAAAAGTTACCAAAACATTGTTTACAAATCATAATAAGTCAAAACATCGAATCCAAGTATCAATCAACATAAACTGTGGGATGATGTGTACGATCACGCCTTCGTCTTTCCCCACTCATCAGAAGTACTTGAAACATTGAAATTCAACTGTAAACCAAAGCTTAGTGAGCTTCCCAAAATACCCTACAGTACAAACAAATACAGATACAATACAAGCATGCATATAGGGTTTGTTGGTCCTTAACCTCACCCCAACTATACCGGGTTTGTTGGTTTACATCACAAAGCAGTAAAACTTCAACCTAACTGTCCAGGGGTTGTTGGCACGTGGCCTGAACCTCACCATATCGGTTATGTTGACTTCCAGTCTTAACCCAACCATACGGGGTTTGTTGGCACGTGGCCTCAACCAAACAATCCATATGTCAACATATACACAACAAATCACTCATAGAATTATCATAGCAATCCTACATCCTAGGATATATATATATATATATATATATATATATATATATATATATAAACTCAATAAATGGGCCGACCTTGGTGCCTTAGACCCATTGGCATAGTGAGAGAACTCATCTCTCAGTCCCAACTTTGAAATAAATCTCGGCTCCCAGTACCAGCTCTACCCGTCACCTATTATGTAAATCCTTGCCCAACATTAATTAATATCAAAATACCCAAAATACCCTTAGATCAACATTGGTCAAACTCAACAAACCAGCCGAGTCAACCCAACCTCGTACGCAAGGCATACTCAGTCGCGACCAGAAAACGAGGGTTTAACCGAGTATGCGCAGCGTACCATCTGGTACGTCCAGCGTACGCAGTTGAAGCTTTTCAACCCATTAAGAGCTTAATACACAAGCTTTTTCGTCCAATTTATAGATTCAAGTCCCAAATGTTGTCCTTGACCATAAAGTTTCCAACTTTATGGTCTTGCATGGCCATTGAGTGCTTAACACTAAAAACCCCAACATCTTAAGCCATTAAGACAACCAAACTCATGCATGAGGAAGAAATAAGAGTCAAGAACACATTTTTATTACTCTAAGCCTAGAAAAAACGTCCAAAAGGACAACCCATTTTCTCTATAGCATGTCATGCACAAGAAGGTCATATTGAGGGACAAAAGTTTATAATACCATCATATGCACAAGATCTAACAAGTTAATCATCAAGGTATAAACTCTATACCTTCTAGAGATTGAGGATGATGCAAGACTTCCAGATCCAAGCTTGCTTCTAGCTTCCAAGCTTCACCACCACCTTCTTCTTCCTTTGAAACACACAAAAACACACTCTCAAGCTTCAAAATGCAACAATGGGTCTAGGGTTTGCAAATGGCAACGTTTCAAGTGATGGAGGCTGGAAATGGGATGGGAAAATGGGACTTAAGGTTCAATATATAGGGTCCAAACCCTAAACATTAGGGTTTATGTCCAGACGGAGTATGCCCTGCGTACTCAGAGTACACCCAACGTACTCCCCAAAACATCACTGTTTCACAATAAGCCACTTACGCCCAGCGTATCAGCCAGGTACGCCCCGCATAAGGGCCAAAGTTGCACAATTTGAAATTTAAAGGGGGTCAAAAGGGGACTTACCAGGACTCGAGTGTAACATATTTATGTCTTTACGAGAATATAATCTGTAAAATTTCTATCTGAAAGAGACTATTTTTCTAATTTTTTTAAACACATGAACCAAAAACTATACTATTTAAACACATAGACAATTTATGTAAAAAAAATATGTAGAGACATTTTCTATAAATTACAGAGAGAGTTTATGTAATTTATTTTCTATATAAGGACCAAACCTGCCAAACATACAAAAATATTATGGCCAAACTCTAAAACTCAAATGTAAAGTTTTTGTAATTTGTTTTCTATACAAGGACCAAACCTGCCAACATACAAAAATATTGTGGCCAAACTCTAAAACTCAAATGTAAAAAGAATGCACATGCATTATTTTTGTAAAAGGTCAATTTTTGTAATTTATTTTATACACAATGACCAAACTTGTCAATATATGAAACTATTATGGTCAGAATTTAAAACTCAAAAATATTTTATTCATAAGCTAGTTACTTTTTATTATATACAATAATATTTTAATTTGTTTACTGTATAACATATTATATATATTATTAAAAGACATTGCGATTTATGAGCAGTACCAGGTTGAGATAGGTACTATTTGTCACACCCCCAAACCAAGGATGGCGGAAACGTCCGGGGGTGGAGGACTTCTTGTATAGTATCACAACAACGAGTATAATAGTGTTCAAAGTAAATACAACCATCATAAATATAATTGAAAAGGTTACACCATAGTATATGTTTACATGTTTCAAAATCAATTACATTATGATGACAAAATGAAATGTTTGACGATTTAACGTCCCATCCTCAAAATGCTGTTGGTTTCCTGTTTCACTGATTTCCTGAGAATACAAGTAGTTTTGAAAAGTGTTAACAATTAAGTTGGTGAGTTCATAAGAGTTTTGTTTGAGGAAGAAACCGTTTTCCTTGTAAAAGCGACAGAGTATGTTTCCAGAAAATCCAATATTTTCTTTATTAGGTGTGAAATGAATGCTCCTATGTTATGCGATAATGTACCCTAGAAAGACCCTTAGACTCCTTCTATAATCACTCAGTGTATATAAGTTATATAA